GAGCAAACATATAAATATAGCCTCTCTCCCTGGGGCCTGCTTTGTCAAAAAATGAATCAATCAGCAGCTGTGTGTGTGTGTCAGGGGGAGCAGGAGGAAACAGAGGGGTGGGAGCTGAGACTTCTCAAAGGGAGGGTTGCCAGTCTGTGTGCCAGGTGCTCGGCTGCTTCGAACTTTGGTCAAGGACAGCAACTGCTAAGCCAAGTCAGGTTCTTATCAGCCAGTCATGAGATGATGTGACACTGTTGGTCCCCAGAAAACTAAGGAAAGATTTGACCTCTCTTGTGACTCTTCACATAACACCGGTCTGGAACCATCAGTCCCCATTCAACCTCTGTCATTTTTTAGTGGCTCTCCCTACCTCTCATACTGGTATGCGGATGGCTCTGGGGACATGAGTCCCAAGGGACCATGGAATTTCCTGGTACCAAAATGAATTTAAGGAAAGTCTTTCTAAAAGTTCATTGCCCTCAGCCACACTGGCCTTCTTTCTGCTCCTCTAGCCGATTATTACGGTTTCCACTTTGGGGCCTTTGGACTTGAACTTCCTTAGTCTGGGTTGCTTTTCTACCAGATTGTCACAAAGTTGGCTCCTTCCCATTTTTCAATCTTATTGTAAAAGCCGCTCTTTAAAGAAGTCTTCCCTCCCCACACCAACAATGCTATCTATTTCCAGTCACTCCGCACTTAATTAGGTTTTACCTCAAGCACACGTGTTAATCACTTGTTTTTCGTAGTATACTTTTTTCACCCCTGACTAGAATGCAAGCTCTATGAAGACAGAAGCCTCATCAATCTTGCCAATCCCTGTAGACTCAGGTGGACAGGTAAGTGTTTAATAGAAATTTACTGCAAGAATAAATGAATGAATAAACTATGAACAGATGAACAAGACAATCACAAAAAAATCAAAGCAGAATCTGTCACCTATCATCAACCACACTGCTGTGTTTTTTGTTTTTTATTTTTTTCCCCAATTTCCCCATGAGACCAGGAGTGCAGCCTCTACTGGATGGTAGAGCTGGGAAGCACAGCCATGTAAGACATGAATTTTTTATTTGGTGCTGTAAACATGAAAGCACTCTGAAATGAGTTGAAGGAGATTCTTGAAATTCAAATAGAAGTGGGGAAAAAGAATGTATTTGGATGTCAGCAAGGTAGATCTGCCAACCTAATTATGCCCTGTGACATGTAATTGCGAGCTGCTGAAAGACAAATGGTGAAGCAAGGCACTTATTATAAACACAGAGAGGTAAGACTGAGGTGTTAATTTTTAAGGAACAGTCATAAATCTGGTTCTAGGATATTATTCCATTAACATTATTATTATTATAACGAAGAGTATAAGAATGATGATGAGCTCCTTTCACGTATTCCTCAATACTTAGGAAATAAGGCTTACTAGTCAATCTCTAGCTGAGACACCTGAGAATCTATGAGGCCACATGAAAATGGCAGAATACTAATTATAGCACCAAGAAGAGAGCTGTTACATACATTGGAAATGTATTTAAAATGCATGCATATCTTCGATAGAGACCATATTACTCAATCCAAGAAATGTACTCTCCATTGCTCCCCATATCAAAGATTCTGCCTTGCACACACACACACACAAAATGGAGCAAAGCCAGAAAGCCCATACTTACTAGACGAGAAAAGTATGAAAATGTAGCTGTTAATAGTGTCTTAAAGGAAAATTAGGGATTTTTTTCAGCATCAGAATGGATGACTGTATTCATTGCCCCTCCCATAGTGATTCAGAAAAGGATGGGGGAGGGGTTTATAAGTAATAGCTTCTATTATACTAAAAGGTCACAAAAAATAATTACATACAGTATTGATAAATGTCCTAGTTACTGCTGTGTTTGAAAATAATTCCAAATTCTAAAATGTTGTTTGTGTATTATTCACCTTCTTATAAAATGATTTTTCATATCACCTATATTCAAGTTGTGCAAATACTTTTCCTACTTCACTGAAATATCAGAATCAGTCTCAAAATCAGACTTGGAGAGGAAAGTTTTAAGATTATTCACACAAACCATGATACGTAACATTTAAAATACAGAAATCACTATGGATATCATTCAAAAGTTTAAAAAAAAAACCCTTTTAAATGATTATTAATACCTTGTCCATTTTAGTTCATATGGGAATGTTTAATGCCATTTACCAGAAAAAAAGAACATTAAAGTAGTATTCATTATGATTAAGACCTAATAACTATGCAGTCCAGAGGGATGGAATTTATGATCTTGCATATATGTTTATAAAATGTGGACTTGAGAATCGTTTCATTTACCAAGAAATCCTTTGATCTCTCACACATTACAACTAACAGCAGTGACAAATTTCAGTGTGGAGGTCTTTTGGGATGGCTCCTACTAGCCTTGGGTTTCTCCATTCCTGCTTAGGGTACAGAGTTGACTTCTAAGTCTGTCATTTTTTTTCCAGCTTTGCTTTGTTCCAGCCTCAAGTAAAGCCTTGATTGTAAATAAGGCAGCAGGACCCGGGAGCCAGCTGAGTCATAAACCCCACTCAGCCACATGTGGCTCAAGGTGTTGGGATCGCAAGAGTCAGGCCAAGCAAGTGGAATCAATTTAGGCCAGAACTAGGAAAACAGTGCTCCTCCTCCCCAACCCCAACTGGCAGTGGAAGATACCACAATCTTCCCTCCACAGCTCAAATACAGGGGATGGTAACTAAGCCCAGGAAAACATCTAGACCAGGGTAGACTATTTCCAGTTTACAGAGAAAGAAATAAATGAGGAAAAAATGTTATTTGACAACCAACCACAAATTCTTAAGTGTATGGTTCTCCTGTTTTTAAGCATAAAAGCAGTCTTGTTGCTGCTATTATCACCATCACATTTTTGGACATTTGTGCCCAGTACCATTTAGCCTTAGGGTTCTTAGGCTTACTGCTTTAAAAATACAGTTAAGCATGTTTAAATCACTCTAAATAGCTCAAAAAGCAGCAAACACACAGCCTTCCTGCTTGGGCATGCAAATCTGAAAAGGGAAGCTTTATAGAATGGCCTTCAGGTCAACAAATTCTGGTTTTGGCAGACTGATGTCAGGAAGGAGTTATATAAAATAAGGTCCTCTATATGAAAAGTACTCCTGCCTTTAGTTCCCTCAGGTCAGAACTTGGAACTGTTAGCAAACATGCCCTGAAAAATGTCAAATTTCATAAAGTGCTAAACACTCACTCACAAATAAATATGGCCCCTCAAAACTGTATACAAATGAGAACCACTTAATGAACAACCCTTTCTTCACCAATAACTCGCCTTAAATTAACTCCAGCAGACTCTTCAAAGGGACCAGAGAAGTCCCCTCATTAAGACAAATTCTATATATAGACATCCAAGACAATTATATGATGCACATAAGCAAATATATTTAATTACCTGGTTTCTACCATTCCTATTATCTACATAAACATAGGATAAAAATCAGTCTAAATGATTTTCTCAGGCCTTCTTGAGGATTAAGACTAGTCAACCATCTTTTAAAAAATATATGTATGTAATAAAGATCAAAAGCAAATGTTCTGGTCAGTTCTTCTCTACTCATGGGTTTTACTAAGAATGTTTGCAATTTTCAGGGAAAACGCCACAAATGACAGATGTTCAAAAGCATGGAAATTAATTGGTGGCAGGAATTTCCTTGACTAATAAGGAAAAACTTAACGTCACATGTTTTGATGAGCTTATTTTTCCCATCCTTAGTCAAGCATATACACTGTTAATGATTAAAATTTTCAAACAGAAGTAAAACCAAGTAAAACTCTGAGTATATAACCAAGCAAAATGCTTAGTGAAATGGAGCTACTTACGAATAAATGACATCGATGAATGAATTTTAGGTGTAAATAATATATAGGGAAAGGTTAATTTCAGGTCTTGATTATAGGAACTAAATTGAGATAAAAATGAGAATACTGCATTTATTCAGAATTGAGAGTACTAGAAGGGAGGGAGGGAGGAACAAAGACTGGGAAGGGACCCAGTGGCCTAGAGTAAAGGTCTATGGGTGCTTTCATGGTGGCAGGAGAGGGGGGGTGAGAAGGCGTAGGGTGCGGTAACACATATCTGAGGAGGTATGAATTATTCCTCTAAATCATATACAGCATTACCAACTAATGTTGCCTCAAAAAAAAAAAATACATGTAACATAGGATTTAAATGTAGTAAATGGAAATATAGTTGAATCGTGTTTGCTAAACACCTTTAAAATAATGTATTTTCAGTTACTCTCTTCTGCCCTTTATGTGTTCTTTGTTACGTATTTTAATTTCAAATATGCCATAAAAACACAATATTTCTATTTTTGCTTTAGCCTGTGTCATTTAATCATTTAAACAAATAAAAAAAATGTGAGATGGTAATGAAGAAAAATGCATTTATTATATTAAAAAACAGCAGTGGGACAACTGACTCTCCTCCCATTCTCTGCCAAAAGCCATTTGCTTTGACCTGTTTTTCTAGCAGTGGTGATGAATTTACACTGCTCCCACAATAGTCTTTCTGACACAGGGGCTCTCCTGTTGTTGCCCTTGTGACCAATGGTGAGAATGGAAGAGACAGCTGGTCAAGATTAGGCAAGCACCCCATAGCCCTGGGACTAAGTGTGTCACCCTGCCAGAGCTAAGACCTTGAACTCATTAGCATTATATTCTCACCACCTAAGCCAACCAACCACTGATAAGCCTCTTCTAACATTTATCACCCTGGGGTTACAACTGTTCACAATCCCAGCAACAATGGGACTTTTTCATTTTCTAGGCTGCTGAATGGAGCCATGACACCCAAAAATTCAGGCACGGTGGAATCTATGTACAAACTACACCTCGCGTTAGCAATTAAATACCCAAGTGTGAGCAACGATGGTCCCTACAGCCTAATCAAATTAACAGCCCTGACAGAGCTCACGGAAAGCAAGAAACAGTCAAAGAATTTCCAAAGCACATTCTCCAAGAGAGAACAAAATACCTGGCCATCCCCAAACTTGGAAAGTTGGCAGGGACGATGAGGACATCCAGCCTGGAGAAGGGGTGTGTTCCCAGGACAGAGTGTGCTGCTGAGAGGCAAGGAGGAATCAGCGGCAGAAGGGTCTCTTGGCAGGTACCCTGGAGGCAGACTGGGGCAAAGATCCGATAAGGAATGATCTCCTGGGTGATGGCGGAAGAATTCTGGAAGCGGCAAGGATAGTCCACATGATCACAAATGCCAATGTGCCTGCGAACAACATGAAATAAACAGATGGTCTTTATGGTAAATCAGGTTAATTCTTCTTGCCATGGGAGTGAGGATAATTCACAGATATGGACAAGTTCTAGGAGAGCTCTTGTGGACTCACGAACAAAGACCATTCATTTGAGTTCTTGGACTGTCTTTTTCTGTGAGGCAGTTAAAATTTACAGGTCAAAATTCTTATGGATATGCTGATAGACTGAGTAGTTTCACTTTAAGCTTAGTGAAAGTAATAAAACCTCCTTTTTTAGCATCTGGAAAAAAATCTAAGACTCAAAACAATATCCCACCAAAATAAAAAATAATTTCTGGCATTATGTGCTTTCAAATAACACCATGGAAAAAATCTTTTCCAAATCTGAGATGATTCATAACTTAGAAAGGGCAGGATGGTGCAACCAAATTAAAAATCCCATTCTGGCATTTCCTAGAATAAAAGATGTGGACTCAGGTAGAACAATGAACCAAATGACAGTGCAGATTCCAACTTTTTAAAAGAACACAATCCATCTTACTCAAGAGTTACCTGGGTGCTGGATGCTGCTTTTTTTTTTTTTTTTAACAGAAGTTATACTGTTAAGGGACATAGAGGACACGTGGTAAAATATTTTACTCAATTCACTTTCAATACAAATTTAACTGAATCAACCTTTTAAGGAAACAGATGAAGCTCAGCCTGAACCATCTGACCACTGCCAGTTATTCCATCAAAGGTGGAGCAGAAAAGAATTCCTAGCATTTGACTCACAGACCTCAAGAGAACTTATCTACCCAGAGAAACCTACATCAAAGGCAACTCTATTTTTTTTACCTGTTAACAAATCCTATATTCAAGCACAGTGGGAAGCCCCTTAATTTTAATTTACAAATTATAATTCTGACTAAGCTGCTTATTAGATTTACAGTGACTACTGAAAAACTATAAAATGCTGGCATGTTCCAATATGGGCAAAGTACAACAATAATTACTCCCCAAATTTTTGAAGTGCCTTTCACCACTCAAGGTCAGCACTCAAGAGATCCACACAGCTATAGAGATAAGCTTTGTCCTCAATAGAACACAGCTTCCAGCACTGATGGTGTTTCAGCTCAGCTGAGGGTAAGAAAATGGGTGGAGACCCACAGAAACTTCTGCCAGGTTGCCAGGGTGCAGCTGTCAACCTCCTGTTCTGCTTGGCATTTCCGGGCTCTGCCCAGGCCTGTATCAGGCCCCACATGCAGAGAGAGGACACCCTGCTCACCAGCCACCAGGACTTGTGTGTTGGAAGCTGTGCAAGCTGTGTGTCCAGCAATTCCAGTTTGAACCTCTGTTGCTTCAATCTGATTCTGTCAAAAAGCAGTGTTTATTTGATGAATTTGAGGACAGTGGGTACTTGGGCAATCCAGATTCTCCAGGTGAGATCATCTATGAGAGTGTGGCAGAGAAGACACTGGGGTCCTTAGCAAAGTTTTTCGAAGAGCCTAGAGACAAACCTTACATATTTGAAGAATCTGATCATGTCTCTTTTGGGAGTGGTGTTTTCACAATTAAACTGTGTGGTGATCTAGGGAATTATGAGACCTATGAGCAAACCCCCAAAGCAAGTCTAGCTCATTTCACCATCCAGTGTGACTAGACAGGAAAAAACTGGGAGTACTACTTCTCTGTGGTCCAACTGCACTTCTATCTTTCTTTACCTATTCTGGAAAAGGCAGGTGATGGCCCAGCCCAATTACAAATACAAAAAAAGTTCTCTAACTAAGACCCCAGCCTCCTTCTGCAGCCCAGGGTTTTTCTAATCTTTCCTGCTTTTGAGGACAGATGCATTGTATATGACAGCTTTGTGAAAAGCTCTTACCCTATTCGTGAGTTCAGATTTTTAATTTGCATATTTACAAAATTTATAGTCTGCCTTTATCCCTCATGAGATCCTTATCTTTTATGATGATCATATACTTATACCTTTATATATAACCTTACAGCAAAGAGGAAAATAAATTGGTTTCACTATTCAGCTTTTGAAGGACTTACAGCAAAACTACGATTGACCTCACCATTCTGTCTCAAAAATGAGAATAAATGGTGGCAATAAATGTTCCCATGACCCTTGAAAAGATAACTACTTCTAAACCCTTTAGTATTGAAGTACAACAACCCGGGAATTCTCAAACCTAAGACCATTCTCTCTTTGTGCTTTGTATCTGTGCTTTGTATGTCATCTGTGTGTATATATACACACATCATATATATACACACATATATAATGCACATAGTTTTAAATGTTTGTGGTATTTTAATTGTATTTTTTTAGTTCCAGGGTCAATATAAAGTCAGCTGCTGTAACACAGTTCTGAGAATGTAAAAGTCCTCCCCAAGACAAGTGGGAAGAAACCATTTCCGTAAGCTTGCAGATACAGTATAATAAATAAGGTAATTGAGCTAAGGAAGTGCTTTGTAAAAGGAAAAGAGGGGCATATTAATAAAAAGAACCCTGGTCTTACACTGATTCAAACCAAAAGTATCTGTCTCTGGGCAAGTTTCACCAACTCTCTGGACCTCTGTTTTCCCACATGTTAAGTGAAAAGAAAATATAGTTGATTCCCAAGGGTCCTATCAGGCAATTTATCAGACTAGTTTTAATTTCCTTTGGAATATAAGGGGATAACAATAAAAAAATTTTCTAAGTTAAATAGCAAATATATATTTTATTCTACTTGAGTTTCAGTTGAATTCAGGTTCAAACAATAATCATCCTGTAGTGTACTCATACTGTATTAAGTAGCTTGCTATTGATTGAATGGCTATGTTCCACCCCAAACTCATATGCTGAATTCTAACCCCCAAAGAGAATGGTATTAAGGAAGTGGATTACGTCGTAAGTCAAAACAACAATAAAACTTCTGCCAGGATAAGGTGACAGGAAGAATATAATTATTGATATTAAACTCTAGTCTAGATGCCAGAATGATAACCTTGCTTTATGGAGAAAGTGAGAAAAAGTGCCTGTTGATAATCATTTAACTGATAGGCTGCGTGTGCAATAACTATGTGGCCATAACACTGTGTTGGTGCATCAATTCAATCAAAGGTCATGTAAAGTGATGGGGCCTCCCTGGTGGCGCAAGGGGTTAAGACGCAACCTATGAAGCTATTCGCAGCCACTGCAGCATGAGTTTGATTCCCTGGCAGGCCAAGGCGCAGCAGACCTCCTGACTTGCCCGCTCTTCCCCTCAGCAGTATATTTCAGTCAGCCCGCCTGTTCTGCTCCCCACTCCGTCACCCCCTGCATCTCTGGCCTGTACCCCAGTTCTTGTATGCATAAATTTTTTTTTAGAAAAAGGTCATATAAAGCGAAAAAAAAACATTTATTGAACCACCATAGTAACTATTATTAATGTATTGACATAGGTATATAATGTGTTATAGTGATTACGCTAGCAGTCTATTGAAAAGCTTTCAGAGCACATTAAATAATGGAGATAGTGGAGGTATAAAGGCATCTTTGGAGCAAAGTTGGGACATAAATTTAAATACTATCTATCAAAGCACAATTTTGCAAAGAGGCATTCCGTTGGCCTAACTAGAAGCACACTATATGGCAAGAATATTTCTTGCAGCCAAGAACTTCAAAGTTAAATATAGATATACCTCTATTCTCTAGTCAAAAAAGCCAATGATTCAAGAGAAAAGGTGAGTTAAAAACCCTCTGGACATGAAAGGCACTAAAGAGATTCATGAGGGTTTTTCCAATTATGTGAATTAGCATCATTTTTCATAATCAAAGTCTAGGCAAAAATGCAAGTTGTTAAGGTAATTGAGCAATAGTTGAAACCACAAATGCTCCCAGTAAAAACTGAAAGGGCATCAGGGATGCCACAAGTGGTTTCCAAAATGGGGATCGGGAAACCTGGGCTTCAGTGGCTGTTCTCACACTATGTCCTGAGATGAGCAACTCAGTATCTAGACCCTCCTCTTCCTGTTCTCTAACATGATCTTAGAAAACTGGCTGCTAGAGGAGGGGAGGAATTAACTGGAAGGAGGAACTTACTAGAGTAATGGAGTATTCTCTGTATCACTCTATTTGGGTTATGGTGTTGGCAGTTGTGGCAACCTCATTAAGTCAAACACTTAAAACGTATGCATTTTGTTGTATGTATTTTGTTTGTTTTAGCTAAAAACAAAGAACCTAAAATGGTTTCTGGGGTTTCTTCTGGCACTGTGATTTAATGATAACTCATTTAACAGTCATGTCCCTGAAGTGGTGAGGGAACACTGTACTTTTATAAAGTCATAGTCTGTCAGAGAGTCAGTATTAACTCAAAGATCTTTCATCTTCCTTTAAAGACTAACCTTTAACTGTTGATCTTTACACCTGTTCCAATATACTCTCAATATTGTCAACAAATCAAGCATTTGGAAATAGCTATCCTTTTTGCCCAGAGTGTTTTAAAAGGTAAAGATTAATAATCAATGCTTGGTTATTTATTGCTAATAAATACTCTGTAATACTAATGATAAGAATGATAAACAAAAGCTCCAATCACAATGACTATTTACATTTATTGAACATTTACTATGTGCCAAAAATTGTTCTGACCACCTTGTTTGCATTATACTAATTAATCCATGTAATATTCCTAAGAATCATGAGTAATCATAAGCTCTTGCCTTCTGATCCTCCTTCCCCATATACTTCATTAATCATCTTGAATAAATCTGGACCCTGGATTTTTCTCAGAACTGAGCTCGGCTGCTCTGTGGTTCTCTGGTTTCCTGTTCTCCTGGGCAGCACTACTCATGAGTACTACTAAGAATGGAAATATGAATGAAATAAATGTTAGACCATTGGGTCACTCTTAGATAATTGCTGGGCTGAAAATATTTTATTAGAGGTCTTTCCAAGGAGTCAGAGTGACCAGGTTACACTCAAAATCACAAGATTGGAAATTAGCTCACAAGGTTCTCCTTCAACCACCCTCTTGTTTCAAGATGGAACTGTACTGAAACCACCTGCTGCAAATGTTTCCCTGTTTAGCATCAAAAGAAACCTCTGGAAAAAGTCTCCCTTGAGAATGCATATCCTTTTTCCTTCCTTTTTGTTTACATTCCCTTCCATGTTAAAAAAAAAATCTACTAAATCCTAAAATTTAGTCAATATTTTCTGCATTCTTGCTCTATTCAAGGCATCCCTCAAGGTACTTTAGTGTACACACAGATAAATACACCTCTGACCCTACCTTGAGGAGTTTACAGTTTTGTTTGAAGAAAAATATTAAAATTCTAAGTACAGTGACACAGTAAAATGTTTACATAATTTATTAACATTTAGTAAGTAGACACTTGGTTACTGTATTAATCACAAGTATTCAAAATGCCAACACCAGCCCACAATGTGTTAATGCATATGATAATATAGTAGTGTCTGAAAGCTAGATGCACTTTCTTAGGGAGTTCCATATATTGCAAAGCAAAATGAGATATGTGCAATAAGAGATAATCAACATGCATGAGAGAGCAAGGGATAAAGAAATCAAAGTGACCCAGGAAGATCTGAAAAGGTTTTTCTCACAGTTGAGGCTGTATTGGAAACTGGCAATTTTCCCCCTATGATTTCATATATATAAATATAAATATATAATTTCTTCTTTTCTAAACTTTGAAAGACATAGAAACAAGGCAACATTTCAACTTTCAACTCTATTTTTTTTAAAAGATTTATTTATTTATGCATACAAGAGCTGGAGTACAGGTCAGAGATGTGGGGGGTGAAAGGATTCACCAGAGACAGAGTGGGGAACAGAACAAGCAGATTGACCAAAGTGCTGAGGGGAGCAGCGGGTGAGTCAGAAGAGGTCTGCTGCATCATGTGGGTTGCTCCCTGGCTGGCCGGGAATCGAACTCGTGCTGCAGTGGCTTGGATAGCTTCATAGGTTGCGTCTTAACCCTTGCGCCACCAGGGAGGCCCAACTTTACAACTTTAAAGAAGACCTCTTGCCCTAACCATTCTTCACTTCTTTAGAATGAGTAATCTCAATGTTTTTCTTCTTCTTTGTAGCTCCTCTCTTTCTTTCATTCTTGAAATAATTATTGCTGAGTTACTCTAGCTGTTATCCCTGTTGAGCTTAAACTATGTGGGTCCAAAGTGAAGGCAATGATTTGACAAAGGCCTCAAGAAGTTAAGCAGAGTACAAGGGAAATAATACTGTAGACAAACACAGTTACTAAGCTTTCAGCAGTTTACCTAAATGCCTTATAACTATATTTACTAACTGCTCACCCAGTGTGGGTTGGCACATGTGTGAACATGGAGCTGGAAGAGAATGTCTTCCCTATAGCTTAGCCCATAGGAACAGTGATCAATCAAACCTTTGGGGACCAAAAGCTTACCCAGATTTCTGTATTCCATAGAACATTTCAGGCAAATGAAAGTTACATTTGTGGGAATTGAACTGGCTGTCTTAAGAAGGCCTGAAGTATAAAGAGGGATGGGGAAGGCAAGGGGACCATATGTGAACATAACCAAAACACAACAGCAGTAGTCACTCAGAGCACCTTTGTTGGCAAACTTAGCATGATCAAAATTTAATGAATCAAAACACAAGCCACTCCTCCTGAGTAAAGACAGCACATATGAAACATACAGCCAGGAGAGGATTAAGCAAAGGTGAGCTACATTTTTGATGGACAAGCTCAGTAATAAATGAAGGGAAAACTTGTCATGAGATGTCTGACATGGAAATGAGTGTGGGAAGGACTCCATTCCCCAGATCTGGAGTTTCTATGTGGGGGCATGCTTCCCTGGGGTGTCACCCATGACCTCTCTCGACAGCTTATGTGATTGGCTTGTGCACAGAGGGGTATTTTTTGTCAGGCCTGTGTTGAGAGACCAGCAGAGGTCCAACTACCAATAAGTGGGTCAGTAAGTTTGCCTCATTTGCATATGGGGTATTAGAAAGTCCACTGAAACCATGGACCTGAGCATTCCCTCAGTTCACCCAGACAATAATAAGATCTTTATTTTGTTCTCCTTTTGTCTGTTTCTCAATTGGTTTTGAACCCAGGAGAACATGAGAAGAGCTGTATTTACCCCTTTCCTAAACACCAACTGGGATTTTAGATATATATCATCTCTCCCCACAATCCCTACTTGATTTGGCTATAATTTCTCCCTTCACAATTAGGAATGTGAAGCCATTTCAGGTGTTTTTGGAAGCACATAGGAGAGCACATAGGATATGGTTTTTGGAGAGCACATAGGATATGGTTACTGCCTACTCCCCCACATCATATCTGTGGAAATATCTTTTCTCTTTCTTAGCTTTCTTCAGGTACACATTTTTCAACTATACATCTTTAACAATCAGCCCTGAGACTATAGGTGAACTCCAGTTTCTAGTATACAGAAAAGGAAAGCGTGGCTTTGCCCAAAGAAATGTACCCAGTCTCAAAGGCACTATTCCTAACTTGTTTTCTGTTCCAACAGGAGACCCTTCGATCAATAACAATTGCGGTGCTGACTCCTGAGGTGGGAAGGTGGATCAGACTGTAGGCGAGTCTTTATAAGATCCTGGGTAAGATTCTAAATCACCTCTCTGGTGGGAGGAGTGAGGAACAAATCGAGATGTGATTCCAGGTGCTGTCACTTAGTGAAGACATGAATATGAACAAGTTGCTATCTGAAGCCTAGGTATCCTGATCTATAAAATGGAGGTAATATGGCAATGTATTTTATAAGATTATCCTTAGAACCAACTGAGATAGCATTTAGATCAAAACTTTCCCTGACTTCAAACATCCAATGGTTTCCTTATCAATGCAAAATAGATTAAGGCTATAATTAACAAACAACCCTACTGTTTCAGTGGCTATATTATAAAAAGGTTTATTTCTCACTTATACCTAGTTCACTGTGGATCCAAGTGACTCTCCAAGACATGTGTCCTTCCTGCTTAAAAATCTAGGCTGTACAAAACTATAAAATAAGGCTTACTTTTTGATCTCAGTGGCAGGGAAAGAAAGTGATATATGATCTCATACACAATTAAATACGACCGTATGAAAATAGCATACATCCCCTCTGTCCACAATTCTCTTCTTCCTTCAAGAATGTGTAAGTAAAATCCTCTAAGCAATCCAGAATATTTAATATAGCATAGGGAAGACAGTTCAAAATAGGTAAGTTATTGAGCAGGGAGTAAAAATTACTTGCCTTCCCCCAAAGAGCAAAAATGGGGCAATAAGACATGCCTGTCATAAGACAGGGTTTAACAGATTTCGGTCTTAACAATACAGTCACCTCGTAACAGAGACCAACATAGCATAATAAAACCAATACAAAAGGAATTTGCTCTAAAATCATTATCTTAGGTGTCGTTCAAGGGTGAACAAACCATCTGTTCTATTACTCTGAGCTCTGGGCTGTTGCCACGAGGAGGTACTGACTTACTAACTATCTCTAAACAAGAAAAATGATTAAGGTGAGAAGGGTGTAAAAGTCCTGGAGTGAGGCATGAGGCAATGAAGCACAATTAGTGCATTTTTGTGTCTTCTATATATATCCCCCTGATCCCTCTGGCTCTCAAAATTAGAAATAGTTAAACAACTGGGGAGGCTGCAAGTGAGTATCTGAGACCTATACTTAATGTTAAAAACTTCAAACTGATTTTCTCCAGTCCTTTTGGGAAAACAAGAAATTGTTACTGAAATTAAGTGTCCTTCCCCAGAAGGATTCTCTTAACCCTATGGTCTTGGGAAAGCTTCCTTCTGTCCTGTGCTCCTAAAGAAGCTGATTAGCCCCACTGGGAGAGGGTCCCCCCACAAACACACTGCTAAGAGCAGTGACTAGAACCAAAACAGTGGGGAGTCTACATATAAATTAATCAGACAACAACTTCTTGTTAAGCTGTGTTTTTGACCACATAAGCACTGAAAACCAAAGTTAAAAGGTGTAGAAGAAAAGTGTGAATCTGAAGATTATGCTGATTTAATCAATTACGTAAAAATATTTCACCTGACTTCACAGAGGATTTCATATATGCTACTCTTGTCTTTTTTTTTTTTTCTTTATAAACAATATGCCCACATTTCTGCCTCTCAACTCTTCCCTCTCAGTAGGGCTTTTCCTGCTTTGACTAATCATATTTTAGTTTAGTTTCTCAGCAGGGATGACTCATGTCCCCAGTGCTTGAAAAAAATGCATCATACAACTTCCTTAAGTGTCCCCAACTGAGCAAGTTCCCATATACAAACCTAAAATCAGGCTTAGAAGGTGAGACAGAGCTGTCTTTTGTCACTTCATCTAAAGAGCAGATCTCTTTCTTTACTTCTGTCCAGGATCCCACTGCAATTGTGAAGGTGGAGGCTGGCATGGGCATTGTTACATAATAATGCCAACTTAAATAACCTATAAACAGAAAGAAAAACAATAATGAAGCCACTGGAGAGCTGTGGACCTTACTCTAATTTCTCTCTTTAGGAACTAGATGAACTTGTGATAACATGGTATGAGCCAATTATTGGAAGTGGGTCATGTAAGATGAAAGGGCATTATTCCAAAACTAAGAAAAGCATAAGAGGGATGATGTTTTCAGGGCAGCTAAGGAGGTTTGAATTTCTTCTAGGAATCAGTTCGAATCCCTTTAAGTAAGGTTTTAAATAAAGAGCAACGCTGAGCTTGTCACTAAGAGCTACAAACAATGAAGGGCACAGGTTGTGTGCGCCTATAGAGGCTAGATTATGTCTTACTCATCCTTATTGCTAGTACAGTATTTGGCATTAAAAAGATGATCTGTTCAATCAATCAATGAATGGATGATCACTTCTGGGCTGCTAAACTATTTTGCCTAACTTCAACTCAACTCAGCCTGAAGTAGATATAGAAGAAAACAAAGAGACTAGGGAAGGGAGTTACCTGGGCTTCAGGGAGATACCCTGAAATTGATTAGCTCTGGAAGTTCTAGTCTTATCCTTCATCCTTCTTATCTGTTTATGTGTTGAACTGCCCCCCCCCATTCCTCAGTGAGTAGATAAAAAACATACCTAGAGAGATTCAGTGGAGTCAAGGACTCCCAGCTAGCCTGTAATAGGGCTGGAATCATAGCTGGCACTCCTCACCCTAGCCAAGGGTATGCCCTCCATTAGTCCAGACCATAGAGGTTTTTTGGTTTTTTTTTTAAGAAGGAACAAGTTATTGATAACTTACCACACCATAACTTAACACCCCTATAGTCTTTTTTGTCCCTTACTAATTCCTTTCCAGGAGCTATTCCTGTCTTTCTTGTAAGTTTTAAGGGGTAAAATATTAAAGAAATGGACTGTGGTTTTCCCACTTTGGTAAGTGAGTGGATAAGATATTAAAAGCTCACTTGAAATATAAACTCCCCATAATGTCCAACAAGCTGACCTAACATGTACTTTTCAAAGTGCTTTACCAGTAAAAGTCAATAATAAAGGTTCAATTTCGGTCTCCATATGCTTGACTCCTTTGTCTCTCAACTAATTCTGAACTCAGAGAAGCCGAGGGATCATTATTTATTACCCTCTGAAACTCTACCAACATAGATCCAAAGAAATGTATTACAGAAATCCTGTGATGAAAATAAAATTTTTGAAAGGAAACAAAAACTTAAACTGCAGAAAAAAAAATGTGTTATCAAGTTTGAAGCAATATGTGATATGATATCAAGTTTGAAAGTCATTGGCGAAGACACTTGAAGGTGGAACATAGAAAGGCAGACTCAGAACTACTGGAATTCACCACAGAGGGAGTCATTCTCTCAAACTTGTTTGTAATTTTCATCTTGCTCCTGGAATCAGAATGGACACTCTTGAGATCATTCCCTCCAAAGCTAACTAAAAAGCTCAAGGTATGCTCCTTTTTAAAGGATAAAGAGAAGGGCTACCTACAATGATGTTGTAGCTAACCCAATGATATGTGTACCATCTACTGGACTTTATGGAAAAACACAGCTTTAAAAAGAATCACTGGGCCTCCTCAGTGGCGCAGCGGTTGAGCGCTGGGTTATGAAGCTGCCCGCAGCCTCTGCAGCACCGGTTTGATCCCCGGCAGCTGGACAAGGGTCCCACATGGCACACAGACCTCTCCTGCCACGCCCACTGCTCCCCTCAGCAGTGCATTTTATCAGTCTGCCTGTTCTGCTCCCTGCTCTGGCTCTGGTGAATTCTCTCACCCTCCCATGTGCTTGTGTGTGTGTGTGTGTGTGTGTGTGTGTATACATATATATATATATAAACAAAATTAATTAAATAAATAAATAAATAAAGAGAATCACTGCTCTGATCCCAAGCCAGCAAGAAGAGGGTAGAGATAGTTAACGGTCTTGATGAAAGCATGAGATGGACCTGTTATGACATGCTTCATTGAACCCACCTGCCTCATCTTTCTAACTTTCATTACTCCCTCATTCTCAGCAAACTAATGCTTCTTGCAATAGCTGCATAAAGAAGTTCAGTTTGCACTGAACAATGCAATAACTGGCACAAGTTGTAGGAAGGGAGGAGAGAGGAGATGGAAGAAAAGGAAAGTTGAGGAACTAAATCTTTCAAACAGATTTGTTTAAAACAAAGATCTGGAGTAATTAAAAATTTTAATCAAAAGGCTAGTCATTCTTTCCCTCAAGTATATTTTGGAGTATTTACCATGGGTCATTGATTTTCCTTTTAAAACTTTCACATTCTTGAAAGCAATGGCTTTCAGGTAAAAATGTTAAGATGGAATACCTTTGCTGCCTTTCAAAACCCAAGGAAGAACAGTAAAAGGACTTTTATTATTTCTTTTAAAAATTACTTAATTTTTGAGGTAATATGGGCTTATAATATTGATTTAGAGGTACAGATTTTTAAATTTTTAAATTAATTTATTTTATTGATTGAGATAACATTTGGCCCCACCCCCACCCCCCACCCCTGCAAAAAGTATTGCCACCATAGTATACCCACCACCAAATCACCCATAATCCACCAGGGTATAGGATTTTTAAAAGTCTGGCAAGATGGCAGCAGAGTGAAGAGGCCTCCCTCCTATGGATACTCACAAAAAATGCTGTAAAAACTGACAACCACAGTCCACAATAGGAGCATTAGTCAAGGAAAGAGGTAGGAAAAACTAAGTGAACTTTGTTTAGAATGATAAGGAACAATAAGCCCCAAAAGGAAGCAATAGCTGCTACATAGAGGCCTCTACTGCCAGTGAATCAGGCAAATGCCCACATTTGGACTCTTAAAAACTAACATTGCACTGGATAAGGGAATACAGGAATAGGTACCCAAAACAGTGGGTATACTGCTGGAGAGCTGCAGTGAGGACTACTGGCTTGAGTCTGAGACTCAACACAGAATAGCTGTAGCCTGAATGGATCACAGCACCTGGACTTCCCTATAAAAGGGGTTGATATATCCAAAATATGCCACCCTTCCCCCATGGACTGAGATATCCCAAACACCTCTCCCCCTCCCCCACAAATAAATGTTCAAGCACCTACCAACAGCGGGAGTCAACACCCCAGCATAAGACTGCTGGGGAGGAAAAGAGAACAACTCCTAGCCTACGACCCTATATCACCTGCAATCCATGCCCAGTGCTGCTCCTCGTGCTTAAAAATAGCCTAGAGTGGAATTGGACATGAGAGGTAAGAGAGACTGAATCTGAGCAGCTGATCTGGAGAAGGGGATCATTGTGCACGTTCAAATACCTGAGTCTAGTGACAGTGTTCCTTTGGTGCCCATTGCCCTAGTCTTTTTTTTATGGTACTAACTACTATCCCTATGAAAATTCATGAGGAAAAGAACACATCACAAGTGACAGAGAAAAAAAAATACAAAACCAGGCCTGAAAGGAGCCCCAACTCAATGGAGTTGTAGAACATGACAGAAGGAGAATTCAGCACAACAGCCTGGCAACACTGGTGGAACTCAGAAAAACAAATATAAAAATAGAGAGTATAAAGCAGTAGAAAAGGGTAAGGAAAATATGAGGCAGCTACAATTAGAAATAACAGAGTGAGACACACTATAGTTAATTTAAAAAATACAATTGAGAACTTCAATAACAGAAAACAGATGCAATGGAAAGAATGAATGAGCTTGTAAACACAATGTTGGAGAAAACAAGAATAGGACAATGTAGAGAAAAAAGAATGAAAAGAGTGTAAGAGTTCTCTGGGAATACATAGAGAAAAAAATATATCGATGAGGATCCCAGAAGGTAAAGAGAAAGAATAGAAAAATTTCAAAGAAATAATCATTGAAAACCATCTCAATCTGGCAAATGAACCAGAAATTGTAATGCAAGAGACCCAAAGAGCTCCAAACAAAATAATACCAATAGACAAACAAGACACATAACATAAACCTGTTGAGAACAAATGACAAAGAAAGAATATTAAAAATACCAAGAGAAAAAAGTATAACCCAATCAGAACAGCAATCAGACTCAGCAGAATTTTCAGCAGGAACATTACAAGCACAAAAGGACTGGGAAGAGATATTTAAAGTATTAAAAAAAAAAAATTCTTGGGCCTCCCCGGTGGCGCAGCGGTTGAGCGCTGGCTTGCGAAGCTGCCCGCAACCTCTGCAGCGACGGTTCGATCCCCGGCTGCTCCCAGGCTGCCGGACGAGGGTCCCACATGGCGCCTGCTGCTCCCCTCAGCAGTGTACTTAGTCACTCTGCCTGTTCTATGCTCGGCTCTAGCTCTGGTGAATTCTCTCACCCTCCCGCGCCTCTGACTGTACCCAGTGCTTGTATAAATAAATAAATAAATAAATAAATAAATCTTTAAAAAAAAAATTTTTCTTGTCCAGAATAATCTACCCAGCAAGATTAATAATCAAGATAAAAGAAATAGTAAAGAATTTCATTGAAAAACAAAAACTTTAGGGTCTCCCCGGTGGCGCAGCAGTGGAGTACTGGGTTGCGAAGCTGCCCACAGCCTCTGTGGCACCGGTTCGATCCCCGGCTGCTCCCCGACCACTGGAGGAGGATCCCACATGGCATGCAGACCTCTCCTGCAGCCCGCTGCTCCTCTCAGCAGTGTACTTCGGTCCTTCTGCCTGCTCTGCTTCCTGCTCTGGCTCTGGTGAATTCTCTCACCCTCCTGCGCTTCTGACTGTACCCAGTGCTTGTATAAATAAATAAATAAATCTTTAAAAAAAAAGAAAAAAAATAAAAACTTTATCAGCACCAAGCTGCATAAGAATGAAATCATAAATGAAATCATGATGAGGCTACAGAACAACAAATATCAGGAAACAGAATCATTTAACATGAAGAAGGTGGAGTAAAGTAACAATGTGACCTATCAGAACTAACTAGAGATAAGACTTATTCAAAGGTTCACACAAAAAACCTATCTTTTACTAACCTCAATGGAATCTTCAAACAAACAA